GGTGCAGGTGCAAGATCCGGAGAGTGCGCTGGATGCTGAAGAACCCCCCATTCAAGCTCTTGGAGTGCTGTTTTGACGACTTGAGCAATATGGGGCCTGGTGTTGTCGTGAAGCAAGATGACTTGACCACCTCTATGAGGTCTTTTCAGCCGAATAGCCTCACTTACACTGTTCAGCTGGGTAATGTAGACCTCCTTGTTGACAGTGCCGTTTCGTTCGAGCAGTTTCCCAGTGCACCATGCCTACCCAGTCCCACCAAACGCAGATCATGACCTTTTTTTGGGTGAAGATCTTGCTTGACTCTCGGCTTTGACGCCTTCCCTGGGGCCACCCACACCTTTCAGTAGACACACCTAAGACACCTTTCCCATACACACTGCATATGTCGAGCGGTTTCGGCTGCTTTTTTGACCTCGACGAGAAGCATAGAAAAGCAGATGTCGAAAATGCTAAATTTTTCTTCCTGGATATTCCATTTCCGAGCCCGAAAAAAGACGAACAATTTAATTATCCTAAAAACGAATAAAACAGTTTTGTAGAGGAGATAGAGCTCTTTCAAATGAATGTATACACTTTGCTAAAAAACAGAATAACTCGTTGTAAAATAGCTCTAACGCAAAACTCTACAAACTTATGTTACAACCCAATAGTTCGTTTTCTTTGGATTTACCGGTACCTGGGTTATCCCTCCCTTGAGAGCGAAATTTTGGACGTGGATTTTGTACCTGAACAGCGCTTCGCGATCAGCACGCACGATCGTTCGCTCCGAAGGGGGTCGATGAAGGAAGATTAGAGTAATTAACGATAAATAACTGTCTCTTACTGAGGGAACTTGTGCAGAGGGAGTGCCACACCCGAATTTCAAAATAATAGGATTACACTTTGTTAAACAATTTGTGTCAGAGTTGCACTAATTGAATCAACCGTTTCTCTCCTAGGCACTTCTTTCTTTGTTCTGGTGATTTCTTTGAAATCGGCTTTCATTCAAGTATAGGCGCAGTTCTTCGGACCTGAATGAGCTTCCTGTGAGCCCTCCAGAGCTGTGAGCTCACTATTATAATATGTAGTTCGAGGGGTCAGGGCCTATTTTGCATTCAGACAATGCTTAGGTGACAAGTAAATAATGAGTAAACAAGGGAAAGAAGAAAGCATGAAGGACGGCGAAATCCGATCGATGGAAGACCTGTCATGAGAAACCGGTGCGGATCGATCCGTCTGTATTTTGAACTTTGCACTTTCGGATCATGGTTATAGGGGACTACCACGGTTGTTCTGTCAATGCAGAATTCGATATTCAATAAAACTGCAGTAATCGTCGAAGAGAGTTTCGGCAGGTTCAGTTGCATTCGACAAAATACTAAAGCTGATACTCTGAGAAAGGGGTTTACTCTATTGGAAACCAACTGGTAGTAGAACCTTGACGTTGAGGAACATTGTCAAATTTTCACAAGACATTCTTCCTATCTCCTTTCCGTTTCCAGCAAGAGTGATGAATAAATAGATCGAGAGCAGGAAAACAAGATGGAAGCACATCTTCATTTCTTATTACCAATACTCTGTTTCACTGTTGGTCTGAGTTCTGAGAGGAAGTCAATTTTACAGAGGGGAGTAGAATAATTCTTTGAAGAGACCGTTCGAGATCTTGATCCAGCCTCTCTCCATCTTTGTATGGATCGATCGGTTAGAGAATTTGTCAAAAGACACCACTGCTCCTTTCATACTTGAAAGAATTTGTCGACTGCTATCTTCTGTAGGACGTCCACAATGGAAGTGCCGTAGTAATTGCTTCGATGAGGGAGACAGATAAGTACCCAAAACACCTTGGGTGCGTATCTCTCTGAGTGACTCATTCAGAAGTTGTCATGGAACCAATGTTCATGTAGGTAGTCAGTTCTGTGATAGTCATATATTTGGCTACTTCTGAATGAGTCATTCAAATGCTATCTGTGATCCATCGAAGGGTTAAAAAAAGTAGCCGACTCGCAGAAGTAATTCGAAGAGAATAACTTTTCAGTGTGGCATATCGAAGGTCGAGAAGGAAGGGGCCGGGTTCTCCTAGTCTATACTGGAAAGAGGTGGACAGAAGACAGCATGAACAAAGTTGATGTAATCTGAATCTTTAGAAATTTTCAGGAAGCTTCATACTAAAGGAGTACTCCCCGCACGTTGGTGCTTTTACAAAATTCAGCGAAAGAGGACGGGGATCGGGAGCCAAAATGGTTAGGAGTCCAAGAAGGTGATTCACACGACTACATAACGTCGTAGTAACCATCGCAAAATGACGACGCAGTCCTTGTTTATATAGCTACCACGCAATGCGCTCAGGTAAACACTAATCCAGCACCAATAATCACTGGATTGAGCTCCCTCGACGAAAATATGGCTTAATGTGGCACAACCAAGGGGGATGTCGCGGTACCAAAGCAGAGGCTTGCAATTAAGAGCATTTTTAGTGTAGGAAACACCCGGGAATGAATAAGTCATAGATCCTCCGACTGTAAGAGTCTAACAAGGGAGACATGAGGCACGGGGCAAAAAATTAAAGTACCAAATTTTGCTTGGAAGGGACACACTCAAACTCAACTCAAACTGGTCTAAACCATACGGCTTTTCCCCACTGGGTAATGTATCTATGAAAGAGGACATCGTGTATTGTCTGAATAAACACGCATCGCTCCGCTATTCCGACCATTTAATCAGATATGCAAGGCTGCGCAGTATACGACGCTATTATTTGGTGGTCAATCGCAGGTGGTATGGCTGATATTGCCGACTTCAGCAATCACCAGGGAACGGTGAGAGGGAGTGCCTGGAACCTTTCTACCGCTCAGTAGAGTGATGAGAGTTTCCAGAAGCTAAATACGCCTCCCTGCCAATTTTTGGAGAGACCCACAGGGTCCGAAATTCTGTCATGACCCATTAATAAAAAGGGAAGGTTGGAAACGATGGTATGAACAGATCTGGAATTTTCCACTTGATCTTCCAGACCGTATCTTTCACGTTCACAGTACCTCCTGTAAGATCGGTAGCCTACTAGGCTGGATAAACAGGAAAACGGAAAAAGAAAGAAAATGAGAAATTGAGGATAACAGTGAAGTTTCATCGATGGAGAACCTGGCATTAATGAACCGGAGGAGATCAATCCGGCTGTGCTTTGAACTTTGCATTTTGAGATCCTGGTTATAAAATAACATCACGGTGGGCTTGTACGATGCGGAATTCGATATTCGACAAAACCACCAAAACAAAGCTTAATGCTCTGCGAGTGGGGCTTATGACATTGGAAATCTATTGGCAGTAAAACCTTGGCGGTAAGAAACCTTGCCAGATTTCTACAAGACATTCGAAATAGACAAACCGAATTCCAACAGGCATGCTTTTCGTGGGGACTTTTGAAACTCGCTATGCTCTACTGAATAATCAATTTGATTTTCCTTGAAAAAAAAAGACACCACTCAAGTGTATTCTCTGCAATTTCCTTCGTCTTATCCTTCAGAACAGTTTTTCTAGTCCAGTGGAACGATAGGCAAACGCTCTTCTCTTCTACCATAGGAGCATCCGTCAAGGGTATGGCAACAGCAGTCGGTACCACCACCCAGGGTACGCTTGCCTGAGAATCCTATCTCTACTGAATCAAAACCTTTGTCCCAAGTAGCTTCACACCACTCAGGAGCAGTGTCGGAAACAAATTAGGTCTGTACAGTGAATCCCACATGGGTTATCCCGCCTGTTTTCTTGATAAGCCTGATACGCACTCAGCTTTTATGATTCCGTAAGGAAGTCAAGTGCGCGGCGCATTTCAAAAAAGAAAAGATTGATCAATGTTAGAGGGATTACCTATACGACATCACGGTAGGCCTAAAAGAGATCAAATAAGCTGTAAACGCGGATAGAAGGGTTCCCTCACATGATAACAATTAAGTTCCAATTCCATCTTTAGCGACTGCTGACATTAAATGATTGCGATTTCCACATACTCCAGCTACAGATATCACCGAAACAGTTAAACGGTTATCACCTTAACTCTTAAGAAGTTCTCCTTTAAACAATCACAGTTAGAATGGGCTTCTGTGACTGGTAGAAAAATTTTTCTAATCATATAGACTTCTGATCACCACCGAATTTGAATGATAAATTACTGGCCCCTAAGAATTCTTCTAAATACGAAACAAGGAGGAATTGATTCAGAAAAAGTGATAACATGCCTACTTGTCGGAATTCCCCATTCCTTCTGTCCATTCCTCCTTACTTCTTCTTTTCTCGCTCTCAAGCCTTCGAGGTTTTACGGTTGGGCTCAGTGAAGCACATCACGAACTTTCAGCAAGATTCAGCAATGTTCTGCATCTGAAAGAAGTCAGCGGATCAGAGGCATCTCTCTGTGACACATACTTTGCCTATACTGTGCTTTGGGATAATTGCAACTCTGGATGAGTGTGGTGTATTCGCAAATGTCGCTGTATCACACACGCTTAACCGAGTTCGAATACCGGAACGACCTGGCTCACCAAACCTTCCAATTACGAATAGATTAACAATTTAATTAACACCGATTACCGGACAATTGCATCAGTAATTCCACACACACGCTAGACATGCACAGTACCGCTATTATACAGGTAGTTTATTACATTTTCAAAACTGTTTCTAATTATTTTCAGATTTATTGAGGGTTACAAATCTTGTCTGTCACGAAAATCAAGTAAAATTACTGGATAGACTTGAATAAGCGAAGATAACCTTATCATATGCCGATCAGCCACCCTGCATATCTTGTAGAAATGGGAAGAAGTTCTGAATCACACCGCCCCATCACCAAGCGTGATCGCTGATTTCAACAGAACGGCCAACGCGGCCACGGACGCGTGTCCAGTAAACGACAGTATAAAAAGGTGACCACTGTGGGAGAATCCATCTTTCCTAATCGTCTTTTCCTCAGCTCAGCCAAGACTCCTTTCATCTTCTCTCCTACCATTACCTAATCATGTCTGGTGCGGTACCTGTCGTAGTAAATGTCGGTGGGACCAAGTTCTCTACAACGGAAGCGACCCTAAAAAGCCGCCCTTCGGGAGAGGACTGCCTTTTCAACACTTTAGATTACTCGGTACCATCAGATGTTCATACCGTAATTCGAATATCAATACTTCACTGAAAACGAGTGCTTTCAGAAAGGCGAAGTGTTCATCGACCGCGATCCCACCCTATTCAAATACATCCTTAACTACTTACGAGATGGTCGAGTGATGTTCGCCGATGATCCCCTCACCGCAGCGCTACTATTTCAGGAGGCAAAGGTACACTTGAAGGTACTTTTCTACCAGAAAAAATGATAATAACCGCAGATGATCAGTTTCTCCGAGATGCGCCATGCACTCCACAAATATTCAAAATAGCAGGTGTTTGAAGGCTTATTTGCCATAGGCCAATTTGACGTGAGAGGGGCTTCACAATGACAAGGGTTAGCTCCTCATGGATTCACATTGTAGGATGTGAACTGCCACCTTTAGGGGGATCAAAACTTGTTTTGTCTAAGAAAGGCTCCTCTCAACTTTTGAAAAATCATTGCATTGATCTCCAAGGGGAAAATAAAGAACAGAACTGCTCTTTCAAAATAAGTGCACTTACTGTATAGAAAACTATTTATTCTGTAAAATGAATGTGGAGATGGGACAGTAGAGCGGGGTACTATCACCACCACCACTAGCACTATCCGAAATCTATTTCCCTATCAAGCCGTTCCGATGAACACAATGTTTCCTAAGTAATCATAAACAAAGAAAGCCTGGTAAAAAAAACGGAATTGCAGACTAACTGGCCCCGTAAGTCGTTTAGTAGAACTAGTACTATTTTTGTTCTGTTACTTTTTGATAAACTCGTCGTCACCCCTATAGGCATCTACCTTTTCCATTTCTGTGAAGTAAAAGCCTTCATTTTAGTTCTATGGCCTTGGTCACCTCGTCGAGCAAATTTCTCTTGTCTGCAAGAATTCAGTTGGCTATCACGACATAAAAGCGCCCAGAACATGAAATCTTCATCTCCGGATCAAAGTTAATGATGACTATCGATTGAATTGGTTATGAACGATTTCTAGAATAGTTTCATGATTTCCTATTTGCTTTGAGACGATATCTGGGTTCAGAGGCGATAGTGGGCTTCAGTGCTCTCTGTACAGTCCTGTAGTCATTCAATGAACTCTTTCCTGTTGAGATTCAGGTTTAGATGATTGCAGTGAAGTTTGTATACCTCAAGCGGGAATGGAGAAATACGGAAGGTCAAGGTTGCCTTGAGATGAGACTTTGTCAAGATAGCGCTGGAAGGAAAACAAAGAGTAGGGATACCATCCCTCCTCATCAGCCCCTACTTCAAAGTATTGTATGCACTGCAGCGGCTCACATGGAGCTAGCGGAGGAGTTTATGATCTTGGACAACTGAACTTCGGGGAAGGCCCCTGCTATGCAGCAGAACTTTCTAGGGGAAAATACTCCCTAGGAAGATTTCTCAAATGACTGCTTCTACCATAGGACGACTACTTACAGTAACGAGCCACATGTGTGTTGTATCAAGTCAGGCGCTTTACCGTACATATTTCGCAACAGCCCATCGATTCGAGGGGCGGTAAACACGGGCACATGACTGAGCAACTGTATAAAAGGAGATCCCTAAACTGACCTCTACAACCTCATCCCTTCGCTGTTTGACTAAGAAACAATGTTGGATTTATGGCTTGAATCGTTTTCCCTTGCGCGCATATTTGGAGGCTCTAACTTTACAGTTGCTTTGCACGTTGCCGGCTGTTGTTCTTCTGCTACTGTTTTCCGAAATATTCTCACTAATTTTTCTTTTCTTCTCACTTCTGTAGTGAATTCTATACCATATTCTACTCTTGCTGTTTGCTGACTAATTTCCGCTTTTTTACTGCTTCTTGTGTCAGCACATTGGAACAAATGTTTCTCTGCAAAAGATAGGGCTGTGGATAAGTGAATTCCTATGCAGGTCCTCCTCTTGAGCTTTAAACCTGTTGCCGTGCGCATATAGCTTCATGACCTTGGTATGGTTTATAAGACAAGAGGGAAGCAGAAATTATGACGAAATATGTGTCAACCTGATGGTCTGCAGGTTCGCTTATCTCATCGTCAGTGAGAATTCCCATGGTTATTGTTAAGATAAAGATATGGGAAACCCTCTTTAAAGTGAGTTAGTAACAATTAGGAAAAAGCTGAAAGGATTGCTAAGTGCGAATGAGAGCATTAATCATATTAAAAAGGTTACAAGGGCACCAACTTTACCTAGTTTGTTCTAACCAATTGAAGGCCACTAATATAGATTTGTTTAGTGGCGTGATTGATCAGATCTATTACTTAGCTAAAGTGATAGAGTTGGTACAAGCAAAGCACTTATACTGTGAATTCAATAGGTTTTACAGCGCCTCTTTCAATATTGTCATGACATGGTAGCGTTGCACTAACAACCAACGTCCCTCTGCAGTAAATAACGCAATGCGAGTTTTGAGTGGATAGAATTGCAACGTTACCTTTCCCAAATGCAGCAGCTTAAAAAACAAACCAATATCTCATTCGCCAATGAACTCAGTAAGGGGTTGACAGAGGGTTTTCCACGTACATTCCAGTGGAAGCGTGATTGTTTTTAAAATGCTCGCACAAGAAGGTGAATGGAGGAAGAGACACTAAGTCCAATCCAACAATCAAACTCACTTTGTCTTAGTTGCTTTTACTCGAAAATTATATGAAAATACTACGAAGTATAAACACAGTGAACATGTCTGTGCATAAGTTTGAAGTAAAGAAAAGAAGTAAAATCCAATGTCCGAGAGAATGAAGACCCGATCTCTCTCTCTTCTGAAACCACACGAAGGTCGTGACGTTGCATGCTCACGACAACAGGTGGGATTCTTGAGAGGAGAACCTGTACAATGGTTGCTCACCTACAGCATTTTACTTTGCGCTGACAGTGACCACAGATCTATCTACTTATATATATTCCACTAGTTTGGTGTGTCTGTTTATTTGTATGTATGTATGTTTGTCTGTCTGAAGTGCCGGAATGCGTGGTGCCAAGAGCTAAACATCTTATTTTGGCCTCGAGACCAGACAGGGAAAAAGTGAGCTAGGGTAAGGATTGGGTCAGCAAACAAGTCGAGGAGACCCACGCTGTAGGCGGAGCTTTCACAAAAGGGGCGGTACTTTCCAGATGTATTAATAATTCTATTCAATTAAGGCGCAGAGGCCAGGGGAAAAAACAAAAACAGTGAGCAGGGCCTTGTGCATGCTGGGCATGCCAAGCCTCGCTCACGATGGGCGGGGCGTGCGTTGAGACGAAAGCCACTTTTCAAAAACGAATGCATTATGCTTAGGAACGTTCTAGAATGCGGGAAAGAAAGTGACTAGAGGTAATGGAACAGATGTGATCAAATCCCAGAAGTGGGCGGGGTTGGCACTAAAGTGGGCGGAGCTTATAAAGAAAATTTGTAACTCTGTTCATAAACGTTCTAGATTCGGCAACGCAGTAGTGGGCGGGGCCGGCACTAAAGTGGGCGGGGCTTGGATCAAAAATTCATAACTCTGTTCAGAAACGTCTGGGTTGCGGCAAGGTGTTAAGGTGTAAAAGAACCAATGTGGTTAAAGCCCAGAAGTGTGCGGGATTGACACTAAACTGGGCGGGGTTTAGATCAAAAGTTTACAACCTCATTTAGAAACGTTTTGGGATGACGGAAAGAATTGGTAAGATGTAGTAGAACAAATGTGGTCAGATCCTACAAGTGGGTGGTATTGACACTGGAGTAGGCGGGGCTTCCGTCAAAATTATTAAGTCTCTTCATATGCGTTTTAGAACGCGGGAAAAATGGGTTTGAAGGTAATAAAAGCAGTGTGGTTCGATGTCCGAAGTGGGTGAGGTTTGCAAAGAGGGTGAGGGGCTGAGATCAAAAATCGTACATCAGTCCTTCACACTAACACTAACCACATAGGTGTACAACTAGGGAGGTACCACTTAACTCTTTCAAAAATTAAGCCAAATACTTTTTAAAAGTTAGTATCCATGGTTACACACACAGAAATCCCTTTACATAAGAGCAAATGCACTACATTAACATCGACATCATGAAAGAAATTCTACAGTAATCCCGGCATACTCGGTCGAAGCGTGTTAATTCCTACAACTATCAAAAGGGGCTTTCCTTTCTAAGTTAGTGTTCATGACCACAAACAGGCCCATATCACATCCCAAAAAAATGATGGCCGGTACAGAAGTGTCAGGGAAAAGGCTCAGATGATAAAGGTTTGTAATGAAAATCAGATCTGCTCATGTGCCTCCTTCATGGCTAGAGCCCCCAGGCGATTGCGTGTGTAGCCAGCCGCCTGGTTTGCAGAAGAAAGAGGTGGACAACTACTGTAACCGATGAACACAGTACGTTTAGAGACAACTAGTCTAGAGACTAGAATTACCGCGCAACATGCTCAAAAGCTTTGCCAATCAAGAGTTCAAAAGTTTATTTCAGGCTTGCCGAACCCGAAGCGAAAAATGTCTGATAAACAAGTGGTACTAAATGTTGGCGGAGAGAAATTTTCTACTTCGCAAAAAACTCTTGGTCGCAAGAGCCTCGGCGAAAATTTCTCCTTTTTCAATTCACTGGACTGCACGGTATACCTCCCAGATTTTCTGTATTAAGCCTAAAATTTTTTACAACCGTGCTTTCAGGGAGGAGAGGTCTTCATCGATCGCGATTCTACAGTATTCAAATATATTTTGAACTATCTACGTAATGGCCGAATAGTCTTTCCAAATGATGCTCTTACAAAAGTCCTATTATCGCTGGAAGCAAAGGTAGGATGAATGCGTAAGGTCTTTCATTCTAGAAATATCGCCGGGCTTGATCAAGCACACGGGTAATGGAATCCTACATGATCGCGAACATTTTTGGTATATAGTTGGTTTTATCAGTCGAAAATATTTTAGTAACAATTAGGTGATTCAAATTTGGCCAGCCTTGCCCTCTGCCTGCAACAAAGGCATAATGTACAATCATTTTTGAGGTATTTTGTTTCAGACGAAGTGATAGCCTAGAATAGTGCAAAATGGCGAAAAAGTGATACGAAAGTTGTCGTATCCGGAGAAATATAAGGCTTTAAAAAAGTGGTAAAACCAGGGGTTGGACGAGAATCTGACGACAAAAGTTGCACGGAAGGGGTACTCGGACGACCTGTCCAAATGTGTGTGCCATTCCGTCAACTGACTACAGTAAGCTGCCTACGTGCAACGTGTGCGTCCCGGTGGCAATGGTGTCCTATTCAGAATCCACAATGCCGTTATAACAAATCTGTCCAGGTGGGTACGTCGACTGAACTGGTTTTGGGGCCTTGTTACGTCCCATTTAAGCCGTTTCAAGACCCGATAACGTCCCTCGGGCTATCCTTGGGAGGGGGGGGGGGGGGGGGGGGGGGGGGGGGGGGGGGGGGG